CCTCTGGGCTGATCATAGTCAGGGCACTGCTAACTCACAGACCATATCCTGAAATAGCCTCTGGGCTGATCATAGTCAGGGCATGGCTAACTCACAGACCACACCCTGAAATAACCTCTGGGCTGGCTGAAAAGAAAAACCCTCGAATCAGATTCAAAGGACAGAGTCATCAAACTCTACTCTCATGTGACAGCCTCAAGCCCTTCACTCTCCAAGGTTCCCGCCTTATTACGTTCTTACTACAGAATGTAGGTCATTATCTTTTTCATTCATTAAAAAAAAAAACGAGTTTTATCTAAATTAACACAGTTATGTATAGAGTAAGAAAGATCAGGCTAATAACAGTCTAACCTCGCCAGCTGTATCCGTCAGTTCAATGATTATAAACTCGTTATCGATTTCAATCTGGTGACGATGCGTTGATTCTAAGAAAAAGTAAAACAAAAGTATGTAAAGAAAGAGAGCATGAGATCAACTATGGATTCTGAACATCCACGTGCACAATATTTTTAGCTAATAACATCTATTATATAGAGGATATTACATGGGCGCACGGAGATACGATATTTATCTTCGAGCGTTGAAAAGATCTCTCATGAGTGAGCGCAGAGAACAAGTGAGAGATTTTCAACACGAGAAGATAAATTTCGTATTTCCAAGCGCCCATGTAGTATTCTGTTTATAATATAATTATCCATAAAATCAACTTAATAAGTTTTTTATTATTATAAAAAGTTCTTATTTATAAACCAATAGCTTAAATACACATGATAACGATATTTTCACATGTGAAAATAACAAGTTATTTTCACATGTGAAAATATCAGTTTTTCGAAAAGGAGAAATATAGGTATCTTATAGATAGTTATATGATAAAATTTTTTATCAATACCTTGAAAAAACTCGTGGCTGATCAAAGTCTTGGCATGGCTAACTCACTTATATATCTATGTACTGTTTAATAAACGAGTAGGAGTGTTTTAAAAAAATAAAACACGATCTACGAGTTTTTTGAACTGCTTAAAACACTCATGAACAATTTATAAGATTTTGGTTCAACTGGAGYCACCATACACGTCACGAACATGGATTTTTATACTTCGATAGAGATTTGACGTCACGGGCATGCGCAACTAGATTCAATAGAAGCTCCCACACGTTGGATATTGCGTGCCAAGGCAAAGACAGGCACGTTAGTCAAAGATCATTAGGGTTTACTATGACCTTGATGAAGCTCTATGTCTTCATCTAAACTTGGATGCATACTTCATCCCTGATGAAGTCATCCTCATAGTATTCGAGTGGTCTTTATATCAAGATCACATGTGTCTTTATATAAAGACACATGTGTCTTTATATAAAATCACTTGAATACTAATGAAGAGGACTTTATCGGGTATAAAGGTTCATGCACGTGACGTGTATGGTGGCTCCAAGTTACCTACCAAGTGTGACATCGTATTCACCGATGAATCGACGAGTAAGAAGACGAACTGTAAGAGCTAACAAGAAAAGAAATGATAAGTAAGAAACCACTTGTTTACTTTACGCACTACAGCAAGGCGCGCTAGTTTTTGGTACATCTGCTAAGGTTAAGAAAGATGGAAAGAATAGATAGTTAGAAGGATAATGGGATGGGATGGATAGAATGATTAGATAAAATAGAAGGATGGAAGGAAGATGGGATGGAATGGATACGAATGAAATGTAATGTAAAGATTGGATAGATGGATAGATAAACGGATGGAAGGATTCATGGATAGAATGATAATGGGATGGAATGTATAGATTATATAGATGAAATGAACGGTTGATGTGATAAACGGAGGGAAGCTTGCACGAGATAAATGGATGGATAAATTGATGGATACATGCATTATGGCTAGATAAATGGATGGATACATGTAGGAATGGTAAGATGAATGGATGGATACATACATGAATGGCAAGATGAATGGATAGATACATGCATGAATGGTAAGATGAATGGATAGATACATACATGAATGGCAAGATGAATGGATAGATACATGCAGGAATGGTAAGATGAATGGATAGATACATGCAGGAATGGTAAGATGAATGGATGGATACATGCAGGAATGGCTAGATGAATGGATGGATACATGCAGCAATAGATGGATACATTCATGAATGGCTAGATGAATGGATGGATACATGCAGSAATAGATGGATACATGCATGAATTGCTAGATGAATGGATGAGTAACGGAATGCATGGATGGATATTGTTTTACCTGACTTGCCAACACCCACACTTCCCAGTATAACTATCTTTACAGGTTTCACGTTGCTTTGAACAACTGATTGCTTTCGTCTTCGACCCGGATTTGCGTCTTTTCTCTTCATCTTTTACTCTGAAAACGAAACGAAGATTAACACCAATTTTTCTTTTCTTTCCTTGAAATGTTTCACTCCTTTTATTCCTTAAAAATTGATGCGTCGGCAGAGCATTTGTCGTATTGTTTACCGCTCGTACAAACTCTTTCCTGTTCATCCAGCGAATTCTGTCCTTGGCCTTGACCTACCGTGATTCCTAGATCTCGTACATCAATTTGGTTTCTGGTAAGCAGTGATACGCTACTGTACATACGGTTTGTACATTTACAGATTCCTCGATGAATTATATCCAGACTAATGACTATAATTTCTTATGACACCAAGATCAACTTCAGACCTAGGCCATGCATTTAAGCAATGAATAAAGTAATTCATAACATTCCACAAGACTTTATTCGAGCAAAGTTTGCAGCAAAAGAGGCTGACTTACTGCACTACATAATGACAAGTCGCAGCACTGAAAAGGCTTCTCACATGACTATCTTTGGTATTTGYGCGCGCGTTTTAGGAAGCTCTACTTCTATATATATAATTCTTTGAAAGCTTTCATTTTCATATTTTTACTTGATTAAATTTATTTTTTCGTCTAATGTTATAGTAGTTTTCCTACAAGTTGGGAACGATATGGCAAATTCGTAGCCATACTGTAGCCGTACTGTAGCCACACCGTATCTCACCGAAGCCGTAACTACGCGCTGTGATTGGATGATTTAGACAATGGGAAGCCATTACCGTGTTACAGCATGTCGTCCCGTGTACGTACTGTAGGTCAGTATACCGTATGTGTTGCACTCACACGAGAACCTCTCTCTTACTCACCAGTTTCAGTCAATTGAATAAGTGAATGTCATATTGTAGCATGGTCTTATGTACACACTGATAAATCGATTACAAAAACATATGATGCGCATCAATCCGTCCTTCACAGATAAGGTCCTACATAGGTTTAAAAATCGTTTGGTGAAAAATTTTATATTCTCGTTCTAAATTGCGGTACGCAAAACTAATAACAGATCAAGCTTAATTTGCTAGCTACGACATTAAATAAGGTTTGAGTCTTGCAAAAATTAAATGATTGCAAAACGAGCATGGCTASCCGTCTCCTAGTCCACCATATGATCGCCATTCAAACTTGTACACAAAAAGTTTTTTTAAACATCGCTGTAAAAACAAAACAAAAAAAGGCTTTCGCCGGCGTCTGTCACATGTCTGTCACTCGTATTAATATTGCGACAAAAAAGTTAAACTCACTCGTGGGTTTATTTTGATACCCAACCAAAAAAACAAAAATCGAAGTCTGCAAGAATCTCTGGGCGATCAAGTTCAGGGCATGGCTAACTCACAGAACCTGGAGAAAAAAACCTTCGAAGCAATTGCGAAAAGACCAAAAATGATCCTGAAACAAGTTTAGAAGGAATGAGGAGTTTTCTAGTCCGAGTCTTGGGAATCGAACAGTTGTACTAGAAAGTTAAAGCATGCTAAAGGATGATATTATGATGAAGACGTAAAATATATATTGAGCACTGGCAGAAGACTATAGTGTTTGACTATTCCTAGTGAGCAACATGAGAGAAAACCTCACAGGACGAAAAACAAACCGAAATCTTACAGTATTAGGAGCTAAAAGAAAACGCGCAAATTCTACTGAAAACTTATGGTTTTAAGAGACATACTTTCTTAAGAGGTTACTACTTACCTGTAATTCAGCGTAGCTTGGTTGTCCTGATTAGAAAGCGAACGAGCAACTCGGCGCAGGTTTGATAAACGCTTCTTGGAGGTCTAGGYTTGTAATCTGTGTTCCTCGCAATGTCAACTTCAACCCAGAAACAGGAGCGAAGATGAAGAGGCGTATCGAAGGATAAGTGAAAATATAACATCAATTAACTGAATCTTCTCGTYTCGCGAGGCCCTTGTCAACTGCCTCTCACGTAGAGTCTTTAAGAATAATATTAATAGTCTTGGGGCAGTTTATTAATATCATTTCTGAGTCTAGGTCAATAGACAGGCCAAATGTTTCAGCTATGACGGATACGAAGCTGCTGAAAAGGTGAATCCAAGTTTTTGCTGTTAAAACGATGTTTTTAAGACAAAATACCCAAAGCCTGTCACACTAAAGCTGGTGAGCTCAATCGTTACTCGCTATTTATCTTACTGGATATAACATAGAAGTTAATGATGTGAAGGTCAACGAGTCTTTATCGGAAAACCGTCATTATGAATCGGCGCATGCGTAAAGCCGCCCATTTTAAGATATTAGATGTCTTTGGATGGGAGTTTATTGGGAGCATCGAGTTAATCTGATGGAGAATAGTTCGAGCAAGTTCTTCAAGAGGTTTTGAATCTACTTTCATAGTCGGTATAAAAAGTTACACCCGAAAAGTTTGACGTTCGTTGCAGCAATTCTTCTGGATGCTGGGCGACAGATGGGGAAAATAAGAACACGTAGCCGGGTAAAGAGTGACAGAAGTTGTTTTTTGATAACACACAGTAATCGGATAACTAGATGCATGGTGTAAAGTTATTGATGAGTCTCGAAATGAGACACACCTTCTGTCACTATGGACGATTAGAGAGATTTAAATTCACTCTAAAGAACATAATCTTGTATGTTATGCGGCTATGATTCTTATTTCTCGTTGCCGCGATACGATGGCCAAACTGGATAATGAAGAGAGGAAGGAGAAGAAGAAGGAAGAGCAGGAGGAGGAGGAAGAAGAGAAGGAAAAGAAGAAGCATAACTTCAAGAAGAAGAAGAAAGAGAAGGAGAGGGAGATAGAGAAGGAGAAGGAGAAGGAGAAGGAGAAGGAGAAGGAGAAGGAGAAGGAGAAGGAGAATACATATCATCTATAAAAAAGGTATGAATAACTGAGCCAAAATTCTGTTTCTTAAAACTCAAACAAACTACAGATGTCATCCAAGTCGCGTGCGTCAAATATTCACGGCATCTTCTTATCTGTTCAATTCAATAATTTTTCGAGCAAAATTAAATAATGCAAACGATTAACGTACTTGTCTTTTCTACGGCTCATCTCTTGTTAATTGTTCATCTAATTCTACTCATTTTAATTCAAATCACGAAATCATTCTTCCGATTGACGTCTCAGATTAACACCATGGTCATACCTCTTGAGAATACTTGACGCAAATGTTGGTCAGATTTTTAAAAAAAATTGTTGGCAGTTGCATCAATAGCTCCAACCGCTAATCATTACCCATTTCCTTTGACGATAGAACTGTTATAGTGTATCAATTGGGACCAGTTGGTTGATGTTACAAGTATTTGCATTCTTATTAGGGGATCGTAAAATAAGTGTTTTTATGATTAAGGATAAATTTTAAGGCGCTTAAATGATAATATGTATTGTTATGGACCATTTCCTTTGACGATAGAACTGTTATAATGCATCAATTGGGACCAGTTGGTGGATGCAACAAGTATTTGTATTCTTATTAGGATCGTAAAATAAGTGTTTTTTATCAAGGATGTATTGTTATGAACAAATTTTGAAGCTAGGATAGCATACATTTTTTTCTTTTGTAATAATGTTGGGTATTTGATTTYATTTCGCAAAAAAATACATAGTATATTTTGCCTTTTACCAGGAACTTGTTTTCCTAGTTTTCTGATTTATATTCAAGTTTCAAAGTTTGTCTTTAACTACGTGCCTTAGCAAATCAAAAGCTTTTCCAGATTGGTCTTTCAAAATATTCTAAATTGTCTGATCACTGGATGTTCTGCAGTTCTACCGCAGTCATTGATAAACATGATCAACATGTTCACAAACACGACTGAGCACGAGGCTAAACATTACGACACATTTTTTCTCTTCTTGGCGACACGTCACGTGCTTAGCAGCGAGTCTATGTTGACCTTTACACAACAGCAGATTCATCGAATATATTGCTTAATAAGGATAAAGATCGACGTCGTTGACCTATATTTATCGATGCGACCTCCACTCCCGTTCTTGGAAGCACTCGTAGATATTGAATTACTTATATATGTAACTATAGAATACCGAAAATGCGGTCAAACTCGTTATTACTTCTCGGATATTTTTTACGCGTTATCGAAATACCGCTGTGCGTCTTGACTGCAGTCGCTTCAGCCTCGTTTTAACACAAAATGCCCACGTCTTGAGTTTTCACATGGTCAGCGGCTGCATCCTTTTACAATTATAAAAATCAAATTAGTGAAAATTTTTGCCTGCGAGCCACTTGCTGTTGAGATATACTGGTTTAAAAGCGAAAAGAAGAATAGGGTTGAGTAAATGACGTCATTTACTCACAATTTAGATGCTGAATAAAATTGATAGTTATTTCCCGCCACTTTTGACTGTGAAGGAAACATGTTGCTTGGCTACTATCTGTGGCATATAGATAAAGTTTAAACTAGTTTCAAGTCATTTCCAATTTTCATTGATTTTCATCCAAGTGCCCATGCGTTCTATCTTTATATCCAACAAATCTCCCTCAAAATAAGGTTTATTTTAGAGTTCAAACAAGACTAATACAAAAATGTCACACAAAGTTCTTTATTCTGTTGCTTCATTATTTCAAATTCAGCAAAAATACATGAAATTTTTTGGGGAAAAAAAATACAAACATTCCTATCACACTGTCGAATATATTAATACTAATATTAGTTAATATTCATTTCATAGATAAATAAATATTTTCCTCCCTTGACATGGAGATCTAGGCTATACAATGGCCTTTAAATGCATGGGATATTCTTTTTGTATGAAAAAGTCCCTTTTGAAGCCGGACACACAGATAATAACTCTTTCTTTTTACCAAATTCGTTATTAAACACTTCTTTGTGTTGCTCACACTTATCAAAATAACGTCATTTCTTTAAATCACAGAACAAGATTTGGCTTTTGCTTCTCCATTTTTTGCGTCATTGGTGTTTGCGTTCTGGTCCGATTTTTCCTTCTCCTCTTCTTTCTCCTCTTCTTTCTCCTTTTCTTTCTCAGCATCACTACCTTCCGGTGCTTCGTCCTCCATCTTGGACAGTTCGTTCACACACTTGATCATGTCTTGAACCAGACTCCACTCACTATATCCCAGACGCCTCCAGTTCGATATATCGATTCTGTCAATGACCTCTGAGTGCTCACCAGTCGACCCTCTAGCTTGACAGTTTCGCTCTCTTGCAAACTTGTCGATAGCTTCAAAACCCATGGATTTGATGAGCTTAGGGACGAGTATGTGGACTGAACCTCTCATTGCTGTTCCAAGGTTAGTTGGACAACAGGTAATACATCCATGAGATGGGGTATGCATGAAGACATCATCGATTCCTAGTTCCTTCTTCAACCCAGCCTCAATAGCAGCGATTCCTCTGGACAGTCTGTCGAAGACTCTCTTGACGTCACCTCCCTTCTCCATGGARATGATCCTAAGGTGGTCACCTTCGTTGATCCAAAGAAGAAACTCTTTCGTGTTTGACACGAAGATTCCTCGTCCATGAGGCCAGTGCTCGTGGTATCCCGACGCCGCTTGCATCTTGTCCTTGCCTCGGAACAAGAAATGGTCATCAATGAGCTGTTGCTGTTGCTCTGGTGTCATCGTGGTGTGCCTGTAGAACGTCCCAGCAAGATCGCCTTCCAAACCAGCAAATACCTTCTCCATCAGGTCAGCAATGGCCAGGCGTGTCTCCTTAGTACCTCCAGGATTGAGTGGAAAAGTGGAGATATTTCTAGCCACTCGGATTCGCGTTGAAATGATCTTTTTCTTCGCCTCAGGGCTCAGATCTTCAGTGATCTTGGAACTGTCCATGTCCGTCACGTGGTTTCCTGTCTTGACGTCATAACCACCATGATATTTGGCAATAACTTTGTCAAAAAGTATCTCTCCAAACACTTGGTAGGACTCCAAATCTCCCGCGTGACAACCAAGAAATGAAGTCGGATTCACAACTCCCGTGTTGATGGCACGAGCTAGGGTCCAGCCTCCACTCTTGGTTTTGATGTGTTTGTTAGCCTCAAAGTCTTCTTTACTTATAGATGAGATAGCAATGCATCGTGTGCCTTTTTCTTTGATCTCGTCTAGTCCACGTGGCCATTCATTATTGGCAAGATCTTCGTCCATGATCAGGTCGAAGTATGGGTCAGGGGTTTTATCCGACATGATGAATCCAGCTGGAAGTACGCTTGGATTACTATTCCTATGGAATAAAGAAAAGATGTGAGAATCGAAGAAAATTAGACGTCGACAACCAAGCAAGGTGCTGCCTCAAACTATCGCGGTCACATGTTCAAGAAAACAGTTGCTTAGGTTAGTTCTCTCCTGTGCCGACTCGAGGATTTTTCTCCGGGGGTTTCCTCTCTCCATAGTAATCAAGCAAGCTGTACCATCGAAAAACAAAGACGATCAGTTAGATTTTATTTATTCCTACATCTTCTTGAGTAGAAATACCATATGAGGCATAACAAGAGAAATTGAATATTCTCTTGGGCATAATGAAAAGAGCTCAACAAACCTACCCACGTGCCGTCTATAATGGTAGAATTACTGCCTAGACCTTACCAATAACTATAGTAACAACCGTGATGATTTTCCCTCATAGAATTTAAAGAACCAAATAACTATTCAATAAATTCTGGAGCTAAATAATTAAAAAAATATCTTGACCTGCCTTAAGATAAGTCGTCCGATCAAACCGCTTGAATTTCACTGCGAAGACGTCACGAAAGTTGATAAATGTTCCGTGTGCTAACGAAAAATATCTAGACTATTATTGCGGGTATAGTAAATAATAAAGGGTTTATCTGGCTTCGTCTTGAAATCTTAGCCTCTTTTTTCCAGAAAAAACAGGTGCTGCTTTNTTTTTTTTTTTTTTTTTTTTTTTTTTTTTTTTTTTTTTTTTTTTTTTTTCCTTTCTTCAGTGCTTTTGATGCGGCTGTCTCTTTTTTCGTATTACTTTGACCCAGATTCAGTCTAATTATCGTCATTATCTTTTAATATCGCCCTAGAGGCCATTGAACAAGAATGCAGACAGAGACAAGAAATATACTGCCATGGCCACTGGTACTCAAGCTATTACGTAAAACCTGGACTAAAAGCGAGCAGAAACATTAAACTTTGGCATTTTGAGTAGGGTAATGCGTTAATCGTAGGAACAGCCGTTTTCGTAACCATTCGGGCAATTTGTCTGATTGAAAACACATCTTTGCGTTATCAGAATATACTTAATTAAAGGATTACTTAAAGGAAGAGATTAGAATATTTTTTAAATTGACGGGTTTTTTAAAAATTTCTCGGTAGGTTTTAACTTCATAATGTTTAATTCAGTTAAAGCCAGGGTAATTCAATATTCAAGAAAATCACTGATTTGTAAAAATATTTTGTGGTGTAGTAGCGGACCTCATTGCATGACTACAAAAAGATTTGCACGTTTGTGTTTTTATGTTTTAATTCTTGGGTTCAATTTTAGAGCTTTTCCACTGTTCTTGGCTTGCCCTAGAGAATTTGTCATTGTCTTATGCTAATAGAATACAAAACATTTGGGAATCTCAAGTAATCTCGTAGCGTCTCTCTATGGTCGCACAAGGAATAAAAACGTTCGCTCTCTGTTTTAACTTCACGGCTTTTTTCTTTCCAATTTTTATTGAGGATATRATAAAATTTATACTCTACTGATCCTTGCCACAAATGCAAAAAGCTTCTGTATAACTAGTGTCATATATTACATAAATACGAAACCGATGCATATTCAAGCACTTGTCATGTTAGTCCAGTATTGCAATATTATCAAGGAGTGCATGACTATCAAAATGCTTTAGTACGAAAAAAGCCCTTATTGTGTCGCGACCTTTGAAGAAGAAAAATCAGGTTATTTAGACACCACCAGAAATGATAATTTTGTCTCAATTCGAGTGATTTTAATTTGTGTACATTGAATATTGGTGTTCATTCTTTTCAGCGAAAAGGCCGGTTTTGTATGGTTGTGTTTTATAAGAGGCTCCCTTGAGTTAAAAATCATTTTAATTGTACCCACATTTACATTCTTGGCTCGATTTGATGGCCCTTCAGACGTAAACACGGTACTTAAAAGCAATTGAAGAATCTTCCTTGCATAAATGTAGTCGAAGAGAAAGGTGAACTTGAATTCCATCGACGCTAACTGGCTGATTATTTTCTGTTCTCCGTATAAAATAAACGAGTTTGAAGCTGACCAAACTAACGACGAAGGTAGAATTTATTCTCTACCGTCAAATATTTTTCAATTCGATCAGTGTTGTGCACGTGAAGATTTAGGTAATGTTTGCACATCATTCATGCGAGTCCCTGCTTTACGAAGACATTTTTACATTTCTATCTCTTTAAAGCCGTTTAAGGAAGACATTTTTTGATTCCGTTTTGGTCCTAGCAACTTATTTCAAGTAAACAATTCCAGTAAACACAAAACAAACCGGCAGGGATTCTGTTTCGTTTTTGGGACCGCCGAAACGAACGGTGGGTCAAAACGAACAACAGCAARCTCAGCAAGCTATTAAATACTATTTTAAGGGTTTGAGAAAGCAGAATACCTGGATTTTGAGCTGAAAATTTGAAAGATCAGTCCTTCTGCTTCGGTTGTCGCTGCTGTGGTCAATTGCAGAGGGATTAGTTTCGAGATCCCAAACCAAGTATAATATTATTCTCTGATGAATATTCAATAAGATGGCTAGACTAAAAATCCTTACGGGGGGAGGGTGGAAAGCAAATACAATAGTCCTTTTGCAACAACGAGCGGCCTGCAAAAACGTTTCGAAACTAGAATATAGTTTATATCAAGAGAATATGTTTATTTTCTCCTGTTTATATAGATTAGTTTCAACATCAACATCAAAAATATTCACAAGGAAGGAAACAAGATTGCTTTATTTTACTTATAGATGATGTGGTGCGATTGATCTGAATTCAAGTTTTTCAAAGTTTTGGCAAGGCTTTATATACAGACTCAAAAAAAAAAAAAAAAAAAT